TTTGGTGGTGTACTTTCTTGATTTTTCGTATTTCTGGTGTCTTTTTTTTGATGTTTATTCATTGTGGCAGGGGGTTTCACAGTCCATAGGCTTGACACTATTGACTAACTAAGATGTTGCTGTGGTTGCCAATTTGGTATGACTACCTCAGTGACTGCTCAGTTGGCCACTAGTGCCTTGTGTGTGTGGTTGCCTCAGGTCTTGGGCCTCTCCAGAGCGCCACCTCTCTGGTCATGTTGGACTCTGCCGGGCTGCTGGATCACGGGGCAGTACCGCAGGGTGTGTGGTCTCTGCTGAGCTTCCACCTCCCGTGGAGGACTTCTCCCTGTTCCATGCACTCTGGCCCAGGCTGCTGGGATGCACCGAGGCACCACAGAACGTTTGGTCTCTGCAGAGCTTCCCCTTCCCCTATAGGATGTCTCCCTGCTCTGTGCACACTAGGCCAGGCTTGGGATGGAGCTGGATGGCAGCTGTGAAGCCTACCTGCTGCTGGATCACACAGCGGCGGCCCCCCCACAGGGTGTGTGGACTCTACGGAGCTTCTATTTCCCTTGCCAGACGTCTCTGTGCTCTGTACGCATTGGGCCAGGCTGCTGGATCGCGCAGCAGCAGTGTGGTCCCCATGGAGTTCCCGCCTCCCCTGCGGGACGTCTCCCTTCTCCGAGAACAGTAGGCCAGGCTGGGAACGGAGCCGGGTGGCGGCAGTGAAGCATACCTGCTGGATCACGCAGTGGCAGCCCCACAGGGTGTGTGGTTTCTGCCGATCCTCCGCCTCCCTTGCCGGACATCTCCCCACTCTGTGCGCACTGGCCTGGGCTGCTGGATCACACAGTGGTGGCCCCACAGGGTGTGTGGTTTCTGCCATGCCTCTCCCCACAGGGTGTGTGGTTTCTGCCGATCCTCCGCCTCCCTTGCCGGACATCTCCCCACTCTGTGCGCACTGGCCTGGGCTGCTGGATCACGCAGTGGTGGCCCCACAGGGTGTGTGGTTTCTGCCGAGCTTCCGCCTCCCTTGCCGGACGTCTCCCCACTCTGTGCACACTGGGCTGGGCTGGGAATGGAGCTGGGTGGCGGCAGTGAAGCCTACCTGCTGGATTGTTCGATGGCGGCCCCGCAGGGCATGTGGTCTTTGCGGAGCTTCTGCCTCCCCCGCTGGACATCTCCCCATTCCATATGCACTTGTTATGTTTTCATAGTTTAAATCAGTTGATTTGTGGGAGAGAGTGATGCTAGGGACCGTCTATTCCGCCATCTTGACCGGAAGTCTCGTGTCTTTAAAATTTAATGTGTATCTTTTGCAGAGAGCATACAGAAAGGTCTTCTTTTTTTATCTGCTCTGTCATTTTGTAGCCTTTAATGCAGTGCTTAACCTAGGAGTCAGAAAACTATAGCCTCAAGCCAAAGACTTGTTCATATAAATAAAATTTTACTGAAACACAACCACGTTCTTCATCTGTATATTATCTGTGGCTGCTTTGTGCTACAAGGCAAAATTGGCAGAGATCATCTGCCCTTAAATCCTCAAATATTTACTATCTGGCCCTTTACAGAAAAAGTTAGCAGGTCCCTGGTTTAGACCATTAATATTTAATGTGATTGTTAGTATGGGCTGACTTGGGCCTATTACTTTGATTTCTGTTTGTTTCTGGTTTTTCTTCTCTGATTTTTGTTTGTTTGTTTTTCCTTTTTCCCTTTCCTGCCCTCTTTTGGATTTTTTGGATTTTTGTTAGTATTTCATTTTAACTTATTCATTGGATTTTTGGCTGTACTTCTTTATAAGTGGTTTTTTTTAAGTGGTTGTTTTAGGGATTATAAAATAATATCTAACCCTTCTTAGTTGTAATCTAGGGATTATAATGTAATATCTAGCTTTTCTACTTGTATTTAATAGTGTGCTACTTCAGCATAATGGTGATGGTGAAACCTTGTAATCCATATGCAGGTTCCTTCCCTTCACCCCATTGCACTAACCTTTTGCTGTAGTTATATGTACTATATCTCCATACCCTAAAAACCACACCAGACCATGTTTGAATTTTTGCTTTCAACAGTAATACATATATTTATAAAATTTAGAGTGCAAAAAAAAGGAATCTATTTATCCAGCTATTTACCATTTCTTTTGCTCTTTCTGAGGAGTTTTGCTGAAGAACAAAGTTTCTTTTCTGAAGAGTAAAGTTTCCATCCAGTATCATTTCCCTTCAGCCTGAACAACTTCCTTTAGCATTTCTTGTAGATCAGGTCTGCTGGTGTGAATTTTTTGTTTTCATTCATCTGAAAATGTATTTACTTCACAAGTGTTCCTGAAGCATTTTTTTTCCCCCACTGGATATGGAATTCTCAGTTGCCAATTTTTTTCTTTTAACACTTTAAAAATATTGTTTCACTCTTCTGGATCAGCATATGGTCTATCTTGGTGATAGTTTCTGGTGTTCATTTCTGATGAGAAATCTTTAGATACTTGAATGATTGTTCCCCTTGAAGATAGGGGCCCTATCTTGGATCTTATTTACCATTACGTAGCATAGCCCCTGATACACAGTAGGTGTACAATGAGTGTTTCTTGAATTCCATTTACTTTAATTGTATTATGTTTTTAATATTGATTAAGTCTAGATAGGTTCATTAAGGTTCCATTTAGGCAGGAGATGAATTGCCCAATATGTGTTATTGCTGTTATACTTGATATCAGATCATTTTGCTAGACCTGAATAACCTGATGAAAACAACCATGGGTTACCAATTTTCTCAAACAATTCTCTTTTCTTCCATTTTTTCCCCTTGGTTACTTGGCTTCCTTTCCATGTAAAAGGAAAATTGGAGGCAGTAGGTGTTTTTTAGAGCTACCCCTCTCCCCCCATCTCTTTTGCATAGACACTATTTATTTTATAAAATAATGGATAGTTAAGAGAAATTCAAAAAGAAATGAGCCAAAAAGTGATTTAGAACAGTTCTATGTTTTATAACATTAAATATGATGTTTAATATCTGCAGAGAGAATTAAATACAGCAGAGATTTCCTGTTGAAGCTCTCAAGTATTTCCATCTGCAGGAAGAAACCAGACTTTCTGCCTGATCATCCTATTGTACTTCAAAAACCAGTTAGTAGTTTTCTAATTTTGTAATAGTATATTCTAAAATGTTTGTCATTAACATTTTCATTCGATTCTACCTCTATATTTTTAATCTTTCTTATTGTGGAATATAAGTAATTCAGAAAAGTACAAAGATCTAAAAGTCAATATAACCAATTATTATAAAGTAGTTACCACTTTACTCAAGAAATAGAATGGAATAGTTGCAATGTTTATGAAATATTTTTACATTGAAAGGTCATGAAAGAATTGTTCTGTATTCTAAAAGTTCTATTTTGTTTTTCAATTAAGCTCTATAATCTACCTGGAATTGATTTTACTGTATGATGTGAGAATAGGGGTCAAGTTTTATTTCTTTCTACATGGATATCCAGTCATTCTAGCAATATTTATTTATTGAAAGGATAGTCCTCTGACACCTTTGTGGCAGTATATGTGTGGTCTCTTTGTGGACTCTTTAGTTTGTTTAGTTAACCTTCTTATACAGTGAAACAAGCCTCTTTTGCCCTTTATATTTCTATGTGACTCCTATGTCAAATTTCATCAAAATAAATACACATAATACATCTTTTAGGGTTTTAATTGGAGAGGACATGAGTTTTGGCATCAGACTTGGGTTCGAATTGTAGCTCTACTCTGTGTACTTGTAGTCAAACCTTGGTCAAGTCACTTACCCTCCTTGAGTCTGTTTTGTAATTGCAAAAAAGGACAATAACCTCTGCTTGTTAGGATTAAGTAAAATAATGTATGAGAGTGCTTAGTATGGTACCTATCCATTATTATGCACTCACTGAATGATTTCCATTTTTTATGGACTCTACTTACATTTGACTGGAATTTAACTTTCTTCTATTGAGAGTTATCAGAAGCACTATTATATATAGGTAAAGGCAACTATGATTCTATTGAGATGAGACTCAGAATATAGATAGGCAGAGAACAACTCACATGTGAGATAGAGTCTATACCTGCTGTCTTGATTTTTGGAATAGCATTTTTTTCCCTCAATTATGATTTAAAAAAATATTTTATTTTGTTTATAGTTAACATTAACATTTCTTAATGTAAGCTCTCTAACTTATAGACCTCCAGCAAATTTTTCTTTTTAAAATTAAAGCAGAAATTAAAACTTTCTTTCACAATACCTCTCACACAAAAGTATTTAATGAGGAAAAATGTACTTGATGATGTTTGAATTTTCCCAAGATATCAAGTATTTGCTACTTTGTTCAAAGAGCTTTGGGACATATAAATTTTGGTCTGTAAGAATAAATATAAATTTCACTGCTATGTAAAATAGAATCACTTTTTCATTTTCAACTTTAATAACATTTTATTCGGTAAATAAAAGTTTGACATATACTTTATTTTGAACAAACTTATACATTAGAATGGTTTATTTTTGATTTATGCATTAATAACATTTTTAAAAACTAGGTACCACAGAAACAGAACAACAGATTTGGAATACAATTTAATGTATTTAAAAATGAAGTACATATTTTTTTGCACACAGAAGAACTGTTTTGTTATTTGACAGTGCCAGTCACTTTAATAGTTACAATAGTAACATGCATTTAAATCTTTAAATACTTATTAGTAGGTTTACAGTATTTGGTTTGATAAACTAATTAGTAAAAACTGTATTCAATCAATATATACTTGATAAATTAACTTTTTCTTCTATATTACAGGAAAACAACCAAAATTTTAAGTAGCACTTTAAGAACAGATGAACTTGAAGATAAAGAATTATTCATTTTATATTTTGGACACCTGCAAATGAAGTGGATCTAATAACAATAGCTATAATGGACTGTGATAATTCAATTTATTTTTTAATTTTGATGGTTGGCTCTTTGGTTTCTCCTAACATGAGAAAGAGATATTTTAAACTATAAAGAATTTTCTAATCATTTTCAGATTTGCAGGCAGTTTCCTGCCTGAATTGGGAAGTAACATTGGAAAGTAGGAATTTGGTTAGTGAAGTGGGAAGACTGTGTATTTATAATTTGCATGCTACTTGCAGTTTTCTGTTTTTCATCACTTGTAATAATGGAATGGAAATGTAAGCTGTAAAGATTCTCAAATACAAAGTATTTGATACAATGTATATATGGTACATAATTTCTTGTTGCTTTTAAAGTTACTTTTCTGTTTTGTTTGTTTCCCACTAATTTCATACCAGCACTTGAACAGATTGTTATGATCTCTCCAGAGGCTTAGAGTGGTTTAGGATGTCCAATGCATAGTTCTCAATGACAGGAGGGAGAATTTTTAAATAAGCATTTCTTTTCAAATATATGATTGGCCTTTAGGTTTTTGATAATAACATTGTCTTAGATTGATAATTACTAGCAGAGATTGACAATCTGGAAACAATGGTAGTGAATGAAACTGAAGTTGAAAAATAGCTGCTGCTTATCTCATTAATCAGACCATATGAACAGTGGAAGTTGAGCAATTGCAAAATAAAATCGCTATTCTTATTTATAAAAGAGGAAAAATTTAGGCATTTGAAAATAATTGAGGTGCATTGTTTCAATTCTAAAACAAGAACATGTATGGATGAAGAATATTTGGGTTTAAACATTTAATTCCTAGAAATTTTACACAATAAATCTCCTGCAGTTTGTCACTCGGGATGTTACTGTTGTAAAAAAAAAGTTTCTTCTAGCACAATGTCCAAAAAAAAATTGGTAAGCGTAAACTCACCCTACTTCTATTCTCTTAGATCCCTGGGTGATCTAAGAATGCAGGGTGTTCAAGGCCATCATTTAGTAGAAAGTTTATTTTTCACTGAATTGTGAACTCCTAAAACCAGTACTTTTTTCTTCACTGGTTTTTGGGCTTGATACCTAGATTCAGGTTTTCAGTCCATAGTAGGTTTCCTATCTTGGTCTTTCAGTATGCTCGTTCTCAACTACATCATTCCCCAGAAAAATGATTGTCTTTTAAATAGAAAAGAAAAAAGAAAAAAAATATCTTCATTAACCATACATTTATTGCTTACTTTAAAATGAGATATTTATGTTTAGGGCCAGTTTTTGTTTTTGTTTTGTTTTTTTAAATTTGCTTTTTGCTCTACTATTTTTCTTTTGTATTATAGGTTCCAGGATATATATGTGAATACATACAAACAGACAAGTACATTCACACACACACACACACACACTCACAAACATATACAAATTATTATAAGAGCTTGGGTCAGAATTACCATATAGTTAAATTGGTTTGTTTTCTTATTTGCCTATTCTCAAGTCCTGTTGATTTTAGTTTAAAAAAAAAATGATAGAACTTATTCCAATTTGGAATTGAGAGAGCCCTTTTACTCAGCACTGTTATTGACGGAAGAACCCTTTTAAAGTCATTATACCATGCTACTTTGGAAACTGCCTAGTACCCAAAAGATTTGATATGCTTTTTGAGTTGGTTACTTAAATGGTCAGACCAGAGCAATGTTTTGACTGGCTATAATTTGTATTTTTGAAACCATTTATAGCTAACATTTTCAGGAAGAGTCTGTATGTCAAAAGTCCCTTAGGTTTCTTTTTTTGATCCTTTCTTACTCTATATAATCAGAATGAGACTGCAAAAACTGTTTTATCTCTTTGCCTTTGTACATATGTATAGCTTGTTTGAATAATCACTGTACATCTTCATTAATGTTCTTTATTTTGTATATAAATTAAAAAAGTTGAGCCAGGTGTTGTTTCCTAATGCTTGCCATCTTTAGAGTTAACCAGAGACACACACATATATGTGTCAAAATTTACTGCTTATGTCTAATAGAAACTATGAAGAAATTCTTTAATTTCAATTAGATTGAATGAGGGCTGAGGGTATACAACAGTATTGGTAAAAACAAATGTTCCATAAATTAGTTTGAGAAAATATTTTAGGTCAAATTTTATGGTTAAGAAGTAAAATTTAGTTCAAACTTTTTTCTTGAGTTTTCCAACAATGAAAAAACAGGAAAATTTTACTTTGCAAATTTTCCCCAAAGGCCCATGGCTTTAAAGGAATTTGGATTAGAGAATGACATGGTAACACATTTCTATAGGTATTATGTTTTCATTAGCAGGGTTTATAACAGGAATAGAAGAGACTTTTATTATTAAAAATATTTAATTTCTGAGCTTGTAGAAAAGAATATATAGTCATTGTAGTGTTGAAACTGGAAGACAGATGTCTTCTGTCCAGTACTTTCCCTATTTTATATACTTCCTTAAAGTTTTGTACTTGTTTTGTATTCCCTCTTTATTCATTTGGGTTAAAATTTTATTTTTAAAGTATTTTGAAATCAGATTTAAATGCAAATGTCTATTTTTTGGAAAATGGACTCTCCAGATCACAGACCAAAACCATATGCAGATTTCTCCAGAGTAAAACTCTCTTCTTTTCTTGATGTGTTTAACTTATATATAGGGAATTATGATGCTAATAAATGATATAATGGTGATACATTACCAAATAGTACCCTAACTTATCACAAAACTGTCCACTTTTGAAAAAGCAGCTTATAAACTGACAGAGATTCTATAGGTTACACAAGGTTGTTTTATGTCTATATACTACTTTTTAAAGTAATGTAAAGAAAATGGTCATAGGATCGTGAGTTGGGAATGGAGTAGACACTATTGAAGAATAAGCTTCACTCACAGAAAATCTGTTACTTAAAAAAATCACAAAACACTGATTTAACCCCTTAAAGTATATGACAATCTACAAAATCTGTCCTATGAAGTATACTCCAAAAGTTCCCATTTTAAATATTTTTTCTTTATCATAATTTCTTTTTCACAATTTTATTCCTTTATGCATATACTTTTTCCACATATTAGGATTTTTGTCACTAGATGGCATCGAATATTGAGAATAATAGTGAACTCTGAAAATTGAGCTAAAATTCACATGAATATAGAATACATTTTAGAAGAGTGCACTTAGATTAATATATGAAACAAAAGTATACAGTAGATTAACAACCACAGAGAATTTTCTAATTAATATTTTAGATAAGAACACTTGTTCTGCACTTGGAACCAACCATAAAGAAAATGTCTAGGACCATCTAGTTATTGTTCAGGATCCACCATGAAGCTGAAAAGAGAAAAACATTTTTTACAATAATGAAAATAACTTCAGGGCAAAGAAAGCTCATAGTACAAATCATTTTTAAAGAGACATTCCCCCCTACCTTTAGTCTGCATAATTATCTTCTAGTTACCACTTCCTGACTATTTAAGCCAAAATTGGATTCTTCCTATACAATTGTTATTTGTACCATATCTTTTGGCACTTTGTCATAGTCTAAGATTTTTTTGTTATCTATGAATCAGTCCTGTCTTGGCAATGAGATTATAAATGCCATGAAGATAAAGTCATTTGTTGTTTTAATCTACCCAATGTTGGTAGTAGTTAGGAAATATAAAAGGTACTTCTACATATAGATTCTACAAAGGTTGAGTATAAGCAAGTATATGTGTTGTAAATATTTCTAGTATATCTATGTAAAATTGGAAATGTTTTCCCCAATGAATATAAATATCCCAAAGACAAATCTATGGGGAAAAGTACAATTGGTAGAATGCTGTGAGAAACAAATGGAAAGGATTTAAATTTGCTTTCAAGCTGTTTAAGTAATTTGCTGGCAATAGGGTCTTATTTTCTTGTGTATCCTCTTTTCTCATAACCATAGGCTTTTCTCTTATGCCAAGGGATATTCTGCCCCACACACCGAGTTTTCTTACTCTTTATCTGGGTAATTTATAACGGCTAATGGACCTGTGTCATTCCAGTCTGCCTCATTTGAATGATTTTTATATTTGACAGTTCACAGGAATATATTTTTAGCTATATTTAGATATTTTCATATCCAGATGTAGTCTGGTTTATTGTCTTTATTTCTTGAGATGTATCTTAGGTAAATCACTTAGTAATCTTAATAAAAAAGCAGTCTTATTAGAAATCATAATTTGTGAGTTAAATTAGAAATACAAAACTACTCATTCTGTATTTCTAAATGTAATAGCTATCTTTTTTTCTTTCAGATTTTAATTTTAGGTCTAAATATGTGCAGCTAATATGTTTTTCATTGTTTTTACTTTTAACCTTCATAACCATATAACACACAAAATGCACAAAACTGGTTATTAAAAATAGTATTTTATTAGAAGTCATATGGTCATTAAAACCCGTAAATAATATTTATATCCTAATTCCAGCTTTTTGTTCAAGGAGTTGTACCTGCCATTGCAACTGTACAACTTACACTTTAAAATAGAGTGGGATACCCCAATAACTGTTAAAATCTTGTTTGAAGTAGCTTAAAAATTGTGTTAGAAACCAAGCCTAATTTTTCCTTTTGTTTTATCAAATTTCTGGGATCATTGTTGAATTGGATGTGATAGGAAAGTTAATGCAAAAGAGGGTACAACTAAAAGGCATTGTATTGAATTTGGGTTCAGAGAACAAGAACAGATCCAGTTTTATTTGCATTCAGTTTTTCTGTCTAAATTAGGAAATGCTATGAGAGAGAGTGATATAATACTTGTACAAATGACACTAATAATGCGTAGAAAGTTAAATCAAGATAATGATGAAGTAAAGTTGGGCCAGAAAACTCTATCATGTTTACTTTACACTTCCATTTCTTGCTATAGCATTCCCCCCCCAACCCCAACCCCAACCCCATTGGTAAGTCATCAGCCTCTCTGTATACTCTTTTTGTTCTATTTTTGTGGCTGGCCAAAGATCCCAGCCCTTGACCTTGGTGTTATAACACCACCCTCTAAACAACTGAGCTAACCAGCCAGCCCCTCTACCAACATTTTAAAGAAAGGCATTTTCCCAGACTTCTCTTAAATATTTTGTTCCTATCTACACACTTTCTCACCAATCCCAGGCTTCAGCCACATCATCTTGCTGTGGTTAATGCCTGATAACTGCATTTGCAAGTGGAGTCTCAAACTCTCTGGTTAGCTCCCTGATTCAGGTGCTTTCCTTCCCTGGCCTAGATTATTGCCCTGCCTGGTTAATCCCTCTCATCTCTATGACATCCATCTTTCTCCCTCCTGTCAGTTATTACTGATTAGAGCATGTCACCATCTCTTGAAAACCTTCAGTGACTCCAGATTATTGTTGAAACTCTTCATTATGGTATTTTCACCCTCACTGCATACTCTCTCCACTCTTTCCACTTTTACCGAAGACAAGCCTTATGCCTTAGTCATACCTTTTAATAAGCCAAGCACATTCACAGCTCTTCCATTTGTTCATGTCTAGAATTTACCAAAGTATCCTTTCTCATCTTTACTTGCCCAAATCTCATCTTTTAAGGGCCACTTCAAGAGTCATCTCAAAAACCGTTAAAGAAGTAATCACTTCTCTAAGTCCACAAGTACATATTACATCTGATGGCAACTACTGTTTTTTGTTGTTGTTTTAGTCCCCCCCTTCAAACATCTGTCAAACTGTACAGAAAGCACTTTATGAGTTGGGACTACATTTTTACTTCGTATCTTCGTTAGCTGCCAACACGATGATTGTTTAGAACTGGAGCTCAATCAGTGCCACTAAATAGGGTATGCAACCCAGTAACCCCAGTGTCTAGCACATATTAGTACTCAGTAAATATATTTTTAATCAGCAATTGAATGGATGGGTAGATGACCAAATGAATTTTGGTTCTCAATTATCTTAAATAAGCTTTGGCTAGACCAGGCTTCTTAGACAATTTAATTTCAAGTTTCTTCCTCCCCATTATCCTTATGAGGATACTTCAAAAAGTTCATGGAAAAATAGAATTAAAATATAATATGAATCTTTCCATGAACTTTTCAAAGTACTCTTGTATAAATATTATTTTAATAACTATTATAATAAAAATATTTCTAACAATTCTAATCTACAGTCTATGGGTCACTTATTTCAAATTGTTTTTAATACATTAAATTATAATATAGTAAAGCATTTGAATATATCATCTTTGAAATATCATGATTTGGCTTGTACTGCAAGTTTGTTTATACTTTGAAGGTGACCAGCAAATGACTAATAATAAATAGGTTTAATATAGCCAGGAATATAAATAGGGTCAACTAAGGAGTAACGATAATAGAACAAATATGTAGATTTCGTATTTCCTCTCCTTCACCCCCAAATTGTAAGGTATATAAAGAAACAATAAAGAGAGAACCACTAATAAAGTGTGGGGGCAAAGAACATACTATCTTTTAAAAAACAAAATACAGTACAAAGATACATAGGAGCATTGTGAACCCAGGATAATTACCAGGAACTAGCATAGTAGATGTGAGTTCTGGAGTTTCCAAGAAATCCACGTTACTTCTTTGGAATGTCTTGCTACAATTCGTCTGAAGGTGGCTGTATAAATAATTATAGGTTATTTATAATCTTCCTAAGTAGAGTGTAGCAGAGATCAAATTCAACCAATATGCAAAGTTTTGGATGATTTGGATTAAGTGCCTGGATACAGACTTCTTTTAATGGTTATTTAGCCTTAAGGACTCAGGAGTAATAATTGTCATCAGAAATTTTTTAGAAAGGTTTTTAAAACAGGAGAACATTAGTTCTCTACAGATAATTAAACAATAGGCTGCAGACCTTAATTGCAGTAAGAAGTTTAAACAGAAGAAAGAGTATTCTGGCTGTCAGAGTGTTTAAAAAACAGGGTAGTTCAGAGTAACTATAAATTTTCCATCCTAGAGAATAAAAAAAAACCACATTTATATTAAAGTGTAAGCCTGGAAACACGGAGTTGAACAAGTTGTCTTTAAGGATCCTTCTATGCCTGAAATACTATTGATGTCATTTTGCCTTCATTATAGTACAAAGTGCCTTCAAAATAGCAACAACGATAAAACTTTTAGGTGAAATATGTATCAACTGAATTTCCAGGTGTTCCATTATTTCTATTACCATATTTAACATCCTAAAAACATGGACGTACTGAGGAACTATATTCTTATAGCATTTAAAATCACTTGGAACTGTTTATATAATCTCAGAACAGCAAAATTTTCCTTCACTCATTTTTCTAATTATATATTTCTTATTTATTAGTAATCATTTTAATTACAAAGAAGTTGATTTGTTGTTAGTCTGTGACAATGTCTTGAATTTACCTTTTATTTGCAGTGTTTAAAGATGTTTAGAAAAATTTTTAGGCTGCGATGATCTTAAAAAATTTTTTCTCCTCCCTTTTCTACCTCTTTTGTCTCCACCCCCACTGCCATACCCACCCTGTTTAGACACCCATGACCCTTATCTAAATCTTATCTGAAAACGTCAGTAAAATAGTAAGACAAAGTGGGATTATTACCAGAAGTATTTGTGCTTCAAGAAGGGAGGGGTTTCTAATCCATGAAATTCCTAAAGGTGTGGGGGTCAGGGTACTGAGGAAATGGGACAGGTTTTAAGGTGAGGTGAAAAGAATGGAGGTTTTCCTACAAGTCCTAAAATTACATCATATATATTGCCACCTTCCTGGCTCCACAGAAAATCAGCTTTGCTCAAAACTTACCTATTCCACACACTACTATTCTCCCAGAACTCATAAATCATGTAGCGAGATTCATTCAAAAGCTTCTGTATAGAAATACTGAAACGGAAAAGAAAAGGCATGATTAGCCACTGGACATTGAAGAAGCAAACTAATTTTTCTAATCTCTATCTGTGGTATGAAACAGTTTCCAAGTGCCTGCATGAAAATTGAACAGGTTTGTCAAGAATGATTAATTCAATATGTGTTTAGGAAAAAATAAAAAAAATTTCCTACTTTTCTGATTTGGCATCATAAAAACAGTCTCAAAATTTTACAGACATCACAATTATAATTTTTTAAAATTTTCACTTACTCATTCAAAATGACTTATTGAGCATCTGTTGTGCCAGAGTTCAGAAAAATGTAAGGGCATTATCTGCCCTTGCCTTCAAATCTTTGGATTAGCCCTGTCTACCACCATGGATCTTGCCAAATTCTTAGCCTTACCCTATCCCTGTATTGGCAACTTTTGGTTGGGGACCTGCTTTACACTTTTTGAGTCACTTGGACCACACTGCAGCTATACAACTAACTCCTAGTTTGCCAGTGCCTAATGGTTCTCTTCCTATTTCTCTTTTACACACACACACACACACACACACACACACACACACTTGCTCTCACCTCTAAACTTTGTCTCTGGATTGAGTCTGAGAGCCCACATTATGACCATAATTTCAGGTTTTCTTATAGCTGCTTTTCCTATTTGAGGAAGACAGTGTGTTGCTTCCAGCCCTTTGACTAGCCTGAAGGTGGCTAAAAGCCTATATAATAAGTTTTGGGGGAGTAAAGGAAGGAGGCTGGCTGAAAATACAGGTTGTGGTGAAGACTGGGTTTAATTCTATAGCAATGAGGAGCCACTGATAAAGCAGGTAGAGGACATGGCTAGAGTTTTAAAAGATCCTTCTGATGACAGTGTGTGGTATGGTATGGAGGGCAGTCATACAAAGCAGGAAGAAAAGCTAGAAAGGTAGTGAAATAGCTTAGGTGAGATAATACTGAAGATCCAAATTAATGTTAAAATAAAGGAATAAAGAAGAGGGGACAGATTCATAAACTTAAGAATGTGCAAGATAAAAATAAAGATGCCTTTAAAAAACTTGATTATAAAAATACAGCTTGTCAAGTCTAATGTTTTACAATATATTCAAATTAGAAAGCAAAATGAGGGGTTAGAAAAACAAGGATTTTGAGTTAATAGAGAACAAAGAATTTACCAGTAAAATAGTTGATTAATGTAGATTTAGGATTTACCTAAGTTTGACCAGGAGATGGCAGTAACTACACAGAGAAATTAAAACTTTTTTTTTCTTTAGCTCTTTCCCTGTAAATAGTTTAGTGTTTTGCAGAGTTATATAGTTGGTTCATTAAAGTATGATGTAACAAATATTGTTATTAGCTCAAATTCAGATTTTCTGGGGAAAATTCTACTATAGGATTATAAGAATTGAATAGAAAGTAAAATTTATGATTTTCTAATCCCAGGAGTTCGTGAATGGGCTTTTTGGAGGTTCCTTGAAATCCCAGAAATGACCTGTAAATTAATCTGCATGTATACTTTTTCCTAGGAAGAGAATCTACAGCTTTTATTATAGTGTCAATGCATTTTGTAATCCCCAAATGTAACCTAACAGTATATGGACAAATTGCAATCCATGCCTATTTTCTTTAGGACAAAGTTTAAAATACTCAAGCTAGCCCTTTTTTGACTACCTCCTACATACTAATGCATTTGTATTGTTTATTACATTGAGCCCACTTATTCTGCTATTTGAACCTTTCATTTTCCAGACTAGCCACAAGACCATAAGATATTCACAAAATTTTAGCATAATGCTCAAGCTCTTGAAAGATTGAAGAAGATATCACAGACTGATATGGTAGTGGTTTAAAGTATGGCCCAACAAATCTACCACCATCCACCATTTATTAGCTGTGTTACCTTGGGCCCAGTACTCTACCCCAGTTTCCTCATCTGTAAAATGGTGATGAGAATAATACTATGAGGATTATTAAATAAGGTGTTGCATGTAGGATGCTTTACTAAGTACTTGGCATACAGTGTGTGTGTGTGAGTGCATGCATGTGTGTTGAAAATGGTAGACTATAGTGAGAAGATGATCTACATAATGTGAAATGCTGAAGCTTTTCTTTTTTGAGAAAGTTAAGCTTTCTCCCAGAAAGGTTGAGTGATCAAAGCAGTAGTGAAAATCTGAAGAACATAGCTAATAAGATTATCTTCATAGGTTGAAAAATGTAGGCTTTTGAAGTCAGCAGGAAATCAGCCTAGGTTGGGATGATAGGAAAGGAACTATCATTGAGCTTTACCAATCAAGTACCAAAAGCTTTACATGTGTTATCCCATTTAATCCTGATAGCAGTCCTATGATGCGTATGTATTATTATCTCCATTTTACACACAGAAAACAGTCTTGAACAGGTTATTTGACTTGCCTAAGATCACACAGCTATTAAGTTCAGGGTTGTGGTTTAGATCCGGGTCTTGTAACACTGTACTTGGAAAGAACTAAATATCTAAGAGAAAACTATGACTGTACTATTTTATGATTTTCTTATGAAGAATTGTGCTTCTATTTCATTGTGACTCTAGTTCATTTTAGTTTTCTGAGGAAAGTTTTTCGCATGGTATATTCAGAAAATCCTTCAGCAATCCCAGTATATACAACCAACCAACCAACAAACAAAAAACAAAAACAAAACAAAAAAACACTAGTGAAAGAGCAACCATTTTCAATAATATAGCATCTGTACTTCTGATTTTTTTCCTTTTTCCTTCTTCTGCATTTTTCATATACAGTATCACATAAATGGAAACAAAAATTTCCAGAATAGATATGTTCTTTATAAGTATAGAAACAAAGCCTTACATTTTGTGATCTGTTTGATTTATTTACCTAAAGGAGCAATGCAAAATATATTTCAACTGATTCTAGATTCATGTTGCGTAATTTTGGACACTTGATCAGTCTAAGGAATTGAAGCCTCTTTTGATAATTTAGAAGTGTTTAGGTAGTTTCAAAGAAAGGTTGGGATATAAATCTATTTTTGTCAAATGTAAAGGTGCTTAAAAAAGTTCATGAAAAGATTTGTATTATCTTTTAATTTTATTTTTCCATGCACTTTTTAAGAAGTACCCTCATAGAACTTTGAAGTTTAGAACCTTTAGAACTTCTTCCACATGGCATTTATTAAATTTTAATCACATCTTTTGTAATATTTTTCAGAATTCATTAAGTATGCCAAAATTATGGGCAATTGTGGTATAGTGGCAAGATCCCTTGATTTGAAGTCAGAGAATCTAAGTTGAAATCACTGCTTTGTCTCTTATATACTGAATATGTTTATTTGGACAATTAAATTACTCTCTCTGAGCCTCAGTTTTCTCATCGGTGATATAAGAATAATCATATATCCTCATATAGTTGTGAGAATAACCTAAGATAATAAATGTGAAAGGACTCTGTAGACAATAAAGTTCCACTGGAATGTGAGGGAAAAGGGAATAAAATGAACACTAAAAGGATAGTTACCATATGCTAGTGACTGTGATAATTGGTAGCTTATTTTCTCTGTTGCTCCCAGCAAGTCCAAGGCCTGCATATCCCTAAGAAAGAGCAGTCTGCTCTCCTGCCTTGGGTCATATTTCCTGGCTCTCCTACCTATTTCCCCAGGAGCCAGTCAGTAGTTGGCGACATACTGGCAGGAAGGTAAAAATGTATGAAAGAACTGCCTCATTCCCTTTGTGTAAAGTGATCTCTCCTCAAAGGGAAGCCTGCTTAACAATTCATATGGGAGAATGCAGGTTTAGAGAACTTAGATAATTTGTCCAAAATGACTGTATTAGTCCATTTCTGTTGCTTATAACAAAATACCTGGAACTGTGTAATTTATAAGAAATCAAAATTTATTGCTTATAGTTTCTGAGGCTGGGAAGTCCAAAGTCCAGGGAACACACCTGATGAAGGCTTTGTTTGGTGGTGGCTTCAGTGACAGACCGGGACCGGCAACGGGATCGCAACCTTCAGTGTCGCACCCGCACCTCGCTCAGCCAGTGAGCGGGAACCGGTCTGTATGTGGGATCCGAACCCTCGGCGGGAGTGCCGCCACGCTCCCAAGCGGTGCACTGTAGCAGTGCGCCACCGGGCCGGCCCTTCACTAACAACTTTTTAAAAACACAATTGACTACTATGACAAAGCCTCTCTCAGTCCCCAAACTTCCGACCCTCCTAGTCAAATACTTAGAAGGCAAGAATTTCTCTAATCCAATGGTCTGAATTTAATAAAATAAGACTTTGTTGTGTAATTGGAACAGGAGGGATCTTGTCTATTCTACCCCTGGTTAACCACGGAAAATCTGGGAAACTCTAATTCATGGATGAGCAAATATTGGAAAGAAGGATTAAAAATGGTTTTGGAGTCAAACAAACTTGGCCAAGTTGTTTAGGCCATCTGAGCCTATTTCCTTCTAAGCTGGATATATAACATGTATCTCTCATGATTGCCATGAAGATGAAACAAGAAAATGAATGCAAAATGTCTAATCATGTAAATACTCAATTTCTATTTTATTTTATGGCAGCATTTTGTGTCTAACCACAGTGAGATTGAGCTAAACACTGTGGGAGAAGAACAAAAGAAACTGTAAATCTCTGATAATTCACAGGGCTTTAGTTTATCAGCCAAACACGAGGCAATCGTGCTGGGTACATTGGAGATGGATGGTATGAGTGGCATTTGATTATTTATCAAGTGATACAGGTAGAGAACTAAACAACTAACTGGTACAACCAGGGCTTTAGTTTATCAGCCAAACACGAGGCAATCGTGCTGGGTACATTGGAGATGGATGGCATGAGTGGCATTTGATTATTTATCAAGTGATACAGGTAGAGAACTAAACAACTAACTGGTACAACTGAAAAACTGAACTGAGACAGGCACACTCGCATAACTTCTATTCCACATATATTCCATCTGTATGTGGTGATTCTCTGATGCTCATTCCATCTGATAAAGTCTATGTTTTGATAATTCCAGTAGAAGAAATTAGCTGAAGAATCAGCAATAAAAAGTGAAGAACCATTAACAAACCAGTCTCGCAAAGGAAAAGGAGAGGCTGAGAGCCTCTATCTTACAGAAAAAGGATACTTTCACTCCATTTCACAGCAGGAGCTGACAGAGCAATTTTTCATGGTTATTGAGAGAACAGAGATTGCAGCAGGCAGTGCAAATCTATTTACTTTCTTACTCTTTCACAGCCTGTTTCCCTCTCCCTAGGGCTGTTCTAGTAGCTTAAGCTCATTTTCCCAGCATTAAAGCAATGTTTCTTAAAAATGAATCTTAAAAACATAAACTTTTGTGCCCTTTTTATATGTGTAAAACACCTAATCAATCTTTGGGAACTGTGATACACTGGAACAGACCTTATCTTCTTTATATCCTCACTAGCCAAGAAAAGGTTTTACTGAGCTCTACTTTCTGTAGTTTACACTGTGGAAGGTATATATAGGTTCTTTTTGCATTTTCCAAATACTCAATTTTATTTTTAAACGAGTGGGCTTTTTAAAACTATATGTATTTCCACCTTAGCAAATCTCTCTTGAGTCACTGGCCTAAAAGGACTAAAATGGGGTTTTGACTGGTACCCTTCTGATCCTGAAGTGAAGTAGAATAACAAAAATTATAATGGAAGCACAGCAGTTCCTGTGTTCCTGTTACAGAAGCACTACTGGGAAGATCATGAGCACTTAATGGCACTAAGCAAGTGTTCATACTGTAGAGAGGAGGGCAGCCAGCTGGATGACAGGAAGCAATAGTTAATGCAACAGTGACCCCTGCTCATTCTTCACAGTGTTCAGTGGATGGGAGACACTGTGCTAAGCGCTTCATGTGGACTATCTCAGTTAATCCTCACAACCATCTTATGAGGTTCTGAATGAGGAAACTGAGGCTTAGAGCCAGTAAGGGTCTTTCCCAAAACCACAAAGCTAGTACAATCCCATGTTTAAATCCAGAGCCAGATTTCTTAGCTAGAGAATATTCTGCTGGAATATGAATAAAATATAATTAACCACTGGGGGGATAAGCAAAGCACTCAAAGACATAACGTATGTGTTTATATGCACACACATGTGCGCATACACACGCACACACATCTGCTAAAAAGCTTTCCTAAAGTAATATTTGAAGAGCATTATAAAATGAAGTTTAAACAAGCATAAGTTAGGGGAAGATTTGGTTATGGAAGTTTTCTGAAAGCAGGTGAGTTCGGGGCTGAGCTTTGGACTTGAGGCAAAGCATGTGCTGGTAGAGAAGTGCAGCTGACAGCCCATTTCTGGGAGGGAGAGTGGCCAGGTCTAGGCACAGTGGGAGGAATGAACAGATTACACTGGAAAGTCAACAGACAACTGTGCATAGCTGCAGCAGAGTATTTAGGTGAGGGAGAACAAAAGACTGCAGTGACATGAATTCTTGGGTCTGTAGGTAGGATAAACATAGGATCAGGACAAACACCTAGTGTCTGTGGTAAGATACATTAGACAGTTACTGCAGGTTTCTGATTAAGGGGACTCTATGGTAATCATTTCTGAAAAATTATTCTAGTAGCTGTTTATTGGACTGGATGTAGTAGAAAAACTGAAGATGAGGAACAGTATATTTTAGTAGCTTGAGATAATAGAAGCCTGAGCTGCGTGATGGCCATGGAAAGAGGAAAGAAAAGAGCTGCAGCTGATTTTTTTTTTAATGATCAAGGTCTGAAATCATGACTTCAGAGACCCCTGCAATTTTATAATGGCTGAGATGGTCATTAGGCCATCGGGCATGCTACCAAGGGAGCAATCAAAGCTAGATGCTCTGGAGTTGAGGCCTCATCTACCAGAGATGATTTTAAATCAGAGTGCGGGCTGCCTGGATACAAAAGGCAGAATTTCAGTCTATTCGAAACTCCTCTTCTCATTCAAATTGTTCTCCTCATTTTATTTCCTTTGTATCCCTAATGATCGAATCAGCATAGGGTCCAAGGAGCAAAGAGAAAACCTCCAGTTAAATAGCAAACAGCATCATCCAGAGGGCTGGGACACTCACTCAACATAATTTAATGTGAGGATACTCAAATGCCTGTCTTCCAGACGCCCCCCTCACCTAAGGTATGAAACACCTCCACTCCCCGCCAGCCTGGCTGGCTAAGGCTTACGCAGGAGCACTTACCGCAAGCATCCACTTTGGGAGGAAGCACTCTCCACATAGTGTTTCAGAGAAAGTTGGAATTCTTCCAAATCCTCTTCTATCACAGACATCTGACGTTGCACGAGCATGATGTGCTGCCAAGGAGGAAATGAGGGTTATTGCGTTGGCTGTCATGGAGCCTCATTTAAGCTGACCACTGCTGCCCATCCCCTCCCTCTGTACAAAGCAAATGACTGTCATCCAAAGAATGACCAAGGAAGGCCATGACTATTCCAAGTTTAAAATTATATTAGGCTGTAATATAGGCAGGATATTTTTCTTACCTCTAGTAACAAAAGCTAAAGTGTCTTTTACAATGACACGTTTTTCTTTTATTAAAGCAGTGATTCTCAATTAGAATCACTTGGGGTGGGGGGAGTGTTAAAATTACATTTATATCAGAATCTCTGGGAGTGAGACCCAGGCACTGATAATTTTAAAAACCTCCTCAAGTGTTTCCAATGTGTAGCCAGGGCTGGGATCACTGCCCTAGAGTCATTTACCAAATTTTAAAGAGAAGTTCTATTGCACACTGTACAGTTCCAGCTTCTCCTTGCATATTATGTCATATTGGACATATCGTGATGATCATTACAAAGTCAAGTTTCAAAAAACATGTTCACTGATGCATTTCCAAAAGCGGCTGGGATCACTGCCCTAGAGTCATTTACCAAATTTTAAAGAGAAGTTCTATTGCACACTGCACAGTTCCAGCTTCTCCTTGCATATTATGTCATATTAGACATATCGTGATGATCATTACAAAGTCAAGTTTCAAAAAACATGTTCACTGATGCATTTCCAAAAGCACATCAACTATTATAGGGTTCTCAAATAGGCCCTGCTCAAAATATCATGGCATTAGATGGAACCTGTATTTAATGGTTCACACTGGGTTGGATGCCAACTGCTTCTTGTGACAAATCCTATTACCATTATAACAACTGTTTGAAGATTTCCCTAAAGATCTGCCTGTGGGCTTATGGAATTTGGAATTTTAGATCTCAACATTAGTCCTTTCCTCTTCTTCAAGGATTGAGAGTCAAATTATAAGGATTGGCCCGAATCATAAAAGTACAAAAAAATTTTTAAAACAAACAAAAAACCCCCCAAGAACAGAAAGGAAATACAATAATGTAAGGATGATCTAGAATATGAAGAAAATAAATCTCGCAAAATATTACCAGCTAGGTAGCATGAGAGCTAGAATTAAACCTCTGGTCTACTGTTCCCTATTCCAATAAGTTCCTCACTTCATGCTAATAGCTACTATTTGTTGGATACCAATTATACTGTAGGCACTACGTTGGGCACTCAATATAGTTAACAGATGTTCCTTCTCTGTAACAGGTAAATAATAGGAGCTAGGTCTTCATAGGGCTTAGAAAAATAAACAAGGCTTGAAAACTATGTCTAGGTAATGACATTAGGTATAGCTACTAGCACAAGAAACTGACTCTATGTAAATTGATCAGAAGTCTACTAAATCTTTGAGGGAACTGTACTGCCAAAGAAATCTTGACCCCAGTCTTAAAATCCTTTCATTGTTTAAGACTTAAAATAATATTTGGGCCCACAAACTTATAAGAGCAAGAAGCAGTCTATGAATGCTGCAGAGCCCCGAAGAAGGGTAATATTCCCCCATGGGCTGTTTCAAATGTGGTCATAGAGTATAATGGCAAGAAGAATCTTTCAAAAGAACAACGGACAGCAGGATTCTTCCCAGAATAGAGATTCAGAGTCTAATCACAGAACTTCCTTCATTAAAAAATACCTT